GGGTACATTGTGGTGGATTCAGCACCATGGAGGAAAGGAATAATTTCAAATCAATCCCTCTCCAGAAATACAGGGACAGCAGAACCCTGTGCTTTCTGAAGAACCCGGTATATTTCTGCTTCACGTGAGACAACTTTCCATAGTCCAGATGTTGTCCCCTTTCCAACAAGAGTGTAGCCATATGCAGCACAAGTGATCTTGAAGGGTGCACCATACGATCCACAAGTCCCAAATGGTGTGCAGTTATGATCAAGGTCACGATCAAGCTGTTCATTCAGTATTTGCACAAGCTTCCTTGCATTGATACAATGTCGATCATCATTCTGGCCTCGCCGGTGGAGAGAAACATTAGGGCATTGATGGTCCAATTCACCTCCTTGTTGCAAACCCAATAAGCACTGCTGCGTACAGTAACGTGCCGTGTGTTGGCTCTGACCGCTCGATGGCCTAGGACCTGCTGGGCGCGCCGATGAACGCTGGCTGGGCGGGGAGGACATCACTTGGCTGAAGCCCCGCTTCCGGCCGTGCGCTGCTTGGTTAGATTCGGAGTCGGAAGAATCCATATGATCACTCAAAGGTGAGGTATCCATTGGTGCACAGGTGGTTTGAGATCGGGTAGAAACTCGATGGCCGGGCTGTAATGGAGATGATGGCAGATGTTCAGAGGGTATATATTCTGAGCTTGCATATTCCGATCCTGGAGGAGTTTGTTGCAGCTCGTCATCGGGGATTTGCGACCGTGTAAAGTCAAAACTTGTCTTCCATATATGGAGCTGGGATCTTGCAGCATTCCGCCACTTCTGGTCACGGATATCCGAGAGAAAGGACATCAGACAGAGACATAATATTCTGGCAATAGCTGTTTTTGACTGATAAAAGACCCCAGGATTTTCTGAAATCACATCCATGTTTGGTTCACAGAGATAGTAATAGAGCGTACTAGGGTCGTTGTATGGAACACGAAGAAGAACGATAGCAAATCCATTAGTTATGTAGGAGTACTCCAGTCCAGCTTGGATCATGACATGATACTCCTGAACCAAAACTGAGCAAGTCAGCTGTTCCGCATTATATCTCAGCTTTTCATCCTTGTTCAGCTCATCACTCTTGGGGATTGTGTCTGACTGAACAATCTCTTCCCAGAGCTTCATCGATCGAAGACCCGCTCGGAGATTTTCAACCGAGAGCTTGTGTGGCGGCTTATACTCGACTGTCGTAATCAATGTATTGGTGGAACCGTTGATCCGATGAATACAGAATGAATCTGGTTTGGGATGTTTTGTGCTGGATTCATCGAACAGCTGTACATCTGACTCTTCTGATGTCTGCAGAAGATTTTCATGATTTTCAAACAGGATCCCATCTCCAAGCCGGAATCTCAATCGGGCATCAGGTATTTTGCATAGCTCGGTTATGATATCTTGGACATGGTCTTCCACTGCAGCTCGTTCGTAGTTCTCCAGATCCTTTTCACTTCGTAGTTTTCGACTAGAATACCGCCGACCAAGTCCCTCTAGCTCAAGAAGAGATGTGAATAGCCGAGGTGCATCTTTTCCGGCTGGTTGGAGGTAAGTGGAAACCGCATCATAAAGTTCTTGCAGTTGAACCGGACAACTTGACCAAAGGCGAAGGCTCGTTGGGCAGTATTTCCCAGTGGGTGGTGGAATACTCCCCTTCGTGGAGCGGGTTGGCGTTCCAACCTGCAAAGGCCGGGAGAATGAATCATGACAACCTTTGATGAGCTCTTCTAGTGTTGTCGGCTGGCTGCGCACTCTCTCCTGTGCTTCCCGCTCTTCTGCCTGCCTTCGCAACTCTCCTTCATGTCTCTCTCGCTCTTCTGCCTGCCTTCGCAACTCTCCTTCGTGTCTCTCTCGCTCTTCTGCCTGCCTTCTCAACTCTTCTGCCTGCCTTCGCAACTCTCCTTCGTGTCTCTCTCGCTCTTCTGCCTGCCTTCTCAACTCTTCTGCCTGCCTTCGCAACTCTCCTTCGTGTCTCTCTCGCTCTTCTGCCTGCCTTCGTTCCGCTTCCGTTTTACGGTAGAGAGCCTCGTAATCTGGTGAACTGTTATCGGCCATTAGAGAGGGATAAAGAGTTATATCAAAAAGCGAAATGGGTACGAGGAATTTAGTGGCATAGAGATAGGCGATAATGCTGTAGTGGTGGGGAGAAGCGAAATAATGGCGGTCATCTTGCCCAAAATAACACGGATCAACGTTTGCCCGTCACACTTCAGAAGACGCGACCCAAGACGAACTACTCCGTACCCAGTCCTTAAAATCAAAGCCACTAAGCAGGTTGGTAGGAACCGCCGCCCATTTGAGGCTGACCAATCACTTTTAGGGATTGACTGGTGTGTTCATAGAGGAGTGAGGTATGTTGGCTGGAGGGCTCGATTTTCTTGTAGATCATCATATGGGACCTCGTTGTGTAGGTACGTGGCGAAATATATTTCTGATTGTTACAATGAGTGGAGCGTGCAATTGATGTGGACGCATTTCCAGCTTCGACATTATGTTTCCGCGAAATTATTGCACCACTTGCTCCTCTTCACGAGGCGCCAAGGGAGTTTGATAATAAATGCTCGCCCACCCGACGTCATCAACCCAATCAGCCCAAAAACAATGCTTGTTGATTCAATTAAAGACATTGCAACAGAATGCACCAATGGCATCTTCAAACCCGCTGCGACCGGAAGATTTGGTTTCATCCATTGACACTGAAGGTTTCTTTATAGTCGCGTGATGTACCGGCGCTAAATGATCTGCGAACATAAGCAATTGTAACGGCTTGCTTAGTAATGTTGTTACGTAAGTTACGGCTAACTAACTACATTGGCGCCGCCGTTTTCTTGGCACATTGACCATCTGGATCTGACGACATCATACGGCCTGATATCTCACCCCGAGGCCCCAGAAGCAACCCGACCTAAAAGAGTTCCGCCCACAAGTACTCCTAGGTTTATCCACGGCGTTCTTGTTCAAAAATACCATTGAGTAAGTGGGAGTATATTGATGGGCTAATCTACACGTCAGCACCGACGTCTATTCATGATACCCGTGCGAAGAGTCATTAATACCGATGGACTGACATATTATCCAGACAAAGACAGCCCCCATGGCGAGTATCAATTAACATGGAGCTAAGCCATGTCTCTCGCTCGTTGCCTTGTTCGAATGCTGGCTGGACACCCATGCTTGGACGTTCTGATCCCACAGCTGCATGCGCAGTTTTGGCATCAGCACCTTATGCTCGGGGGATGAGTTCCCATTGCAACTGCTGGCTTGTACAGGGTGCCTATCTATGATTTGCTGATACCGAAACTGCTTACCCGACGGATTTTGCCTCGCTTGTTTTGACGATCATCACTTTGCCTTGTGCAAATGCAGGCCAGCCACCCACACTTATACCGGGAGGAAGTCGCGGCATGAGGAGGGATATTGCCATTTAGGCCTGCCTGAGCTTGGTTTCCTTGTACATGCGCCCAAACCCGGAATTCTTTTATAAGCTACCTATGGTTCTAAAATCTCTTTTGCCGGGGTCAGCGCTGGTGCACGCCAGTGCCATGCGCATAACAAGGCAACCAAGCTCATGCAGGCCTAAATCACAAGTCCTCATGCTTGGTGTAGGGGAATCTTCCGTCGGGATACTCTGCAGGCATAAAAGGTTGGGAGAACCCATAATGATATACCGCACTTTCTGTGGCTTTAAGTGCTTCCTCGCTTTTACTTTTATTATACTCTTTGCTTTCAATTGTGTTTGAGTTGTCTGTTATTTTCCCTTCTTGCCCTTCTCACTATCCCTTGCCTTTTTGCCAGCTGCTTATTTCATTCGACGTGTCGAATGTCGGCATCGCAAGCGGATCCTCCCAGTAATGACCAAAGACGAACAGCAGCATCTCAACACTCCGCATCTAATGCCTATACGTTCGGCCAGGCTACGTCCAACCCACCAATATCCCATCATCGGGCGTATATGCCTGTGAACCAGGCTGGCATGGCTGAGAGACACAGCTACGCGTCTCCCAGGTGCCACGATACCAGCAAATCTACAGGCATCTGTAGCTTCAGAATCTGCGGCTTACTCCCACCAATCTCAAAGCCAAACTTTCCAATACGTGCCTGATGATTACCACAATACACAGTTTAATCCTCGCGGTTCAACTAATAACGGGGGTCTCAATGGCCCTATCGACGCTTTCCCCACAGAGAATCAAGCCAACGCGTTGGGAACGTTTACAAGTCTCAGGGGCCCTCCTAGAGTCACCACCGCGAGCCGTCGACGACCCAGGCATACTATCAATAGAGCGATACCGCAGCCTGGCTCAATGCCCCACAGCAACCGACACAATCACTCTGCATCCGCGATAAATATAGGGATTCTGGGGGATACCCCTCAGAGTTATGTTCAGCAAGCTCGACTTCATTATGCCCGCGCCCTTATGCGCTACCCTAATGACACTGACGGGTTTCTTTCCACAGATGAAATAGAACGTAGAAGAAGATTTCTGGAGCCCCTTAGCAGAAATAACACTGAACCTAGTACTCTAGTCAAAGGGCTTGATAGCGCGGAGGATGGACGCCCGGAGCCTAAACAAACAAAAGAACTCACAGTTAACTTGGAATGCAAAGCCTGCATGAGTCAACTTATTGACACTGTGATGTTTCCCTGTGGGCATGCAGTGTTTTGTCACTGGTGTGCTCATCAGCATATGCTGTCAAGCAGAATGGACAAAGCAAAGCCTCACTCAACTGTCACTTGCCCTATGTGCCGCGAACAAGTGAAACAAAATGTATTTTACCCATTTAATTCCTAATTTTCATTGAAAAATGCTAACTGGGTTGGAAGATTCGGATATATCTCTCATAAATATCCGGAAGAAACGGAACGAGCCAGCAGGCCTACCGAAGCGAATGCGAAAAGGAACGTCATATATATATATATCAGATCAGTATAAAATTGAATAGAAGGACCGCCACTCCATTTTCCTGCGCCAAGGACAGTTGGGACGGGGATAGATGTGAACCAAGCAATAAAGGCCATCACCGAGGTCTCGTCGCTAGTCTTTTCACAGCGGAAGCGGCTTCGGCCCACTCTGGAATGGCTCACATTGTGCTAGAGCTCTCCAAGCCGGTATTCAAATACATTGGAGGGTTGAAATATGACTCTGAGGGGTGGACGGTTGCAAAGCGGCCTCTGACACTCAAAATGAACGAGCTTATACGAGTTGGAAATTTCCCTCCCAATGAATTTGTCGATTACAACCACACCTTTGAAAGCGCCTTTTTGATTGTGCAGTGTTTTTGTGTTTGATTTGACTTCACATTCCTTTTCTCTAGTTGATTCTCGTACATCTCTTTTCTTTGGTTATTCAAATAGATTGTTAGATATAATACATACACACCGATATCACCACTCTCTACCTAGTGTGGACGGAGTCAAGCGCGGAAGTATTTGACGGTCTTATAAGAAGAAGGATGCGGAGTAGGGGTGGATTGGCCACGCGAGATTTTGGATATCATGGATACGCTCGAAGAAGAGAGGCCGATTCCCATCTTCCATTAATTGCGTGTTGATGGTCGAGGACGTAATGTGCTCAGACGTCTCTTTCGTTGCATCTCCTCCATCCTTTGTTGTTTCTTCTCCTTCCTCCTCTTTTGTTTCTCCCCCTTCCGTCTTTGTTTTTCCTCCTCCTTCCGCAGCTGGAGCCTCGCATTTTCGGGGAGCCAATGGTCTGGGAGATATGTTTCCTTCTCATAAAGCACACGGTGAACATATTTATTATTTCGCCATACTTTATCTCCGACATAACAAATCCTAAGGCTCTTTTCAACCTGCTGCGCCTCATACCAATAGGGAAGATTCTCCAATTCATCATGGGCCAACGGTTGTGTCGTAGCCCCAGAATCCGAGATATTGTCTCGGCCGTCGAGTTCGATGCCACCAGGAGGCTGAGGCCGGTTATTTGAGGTTCTGTCAACAGACAGCCGCTCGGGCGGGACGTTGAGGGAGGCTGCAGTCTTAGATGAGAAATAGAAATAGAAGGCCGCATTATGAGGAGCAAAACAGACAATAAAGGGGGGGAGGTCGTTAAACCCGTACTGGAGGTATTGGTTTGAAACGGCGCCTTTTGGAGAAAGTCACCCAACATCTCGCAATAAGCTGGAAGAGTTGGTTGTTGCGCACCGGACGACAAAAGTTGACTGGGTAGTGGCGGAGGGCCCTCGGTTCCTTGTCTATCCATGCTAAGGATGTGCAGAGATGCAGAGGAGGAAGAGAATATTTGAAGCAAGATGGGCGAATATTTGAAGCAGGAAAAAGATTTGGAGAAGGGCGAAGGCTGAATTCAAATGAGACCTTTTATAGCCCTTTATACCTCAACCCCATGTTTTTGGTAGTTGCATCCACCCGAGTTCGACATGGCTGGGTCCATCCTAGATCTTCACACAACCCTCTGGAGGTAGCCATCCCTTTTTTTGACCCACCCGTTATGAAGGTTAAGAGTTCCTTGCTTCAAGTTGAGTGGCATAATCTTTCTTCACACCAAATTCAATTAGACAAGCAAATACAAAAACAAGTGGAAAATGATTCATTATGCTATTACAGTTCCTAAACCAAGAACCCCCTCCAGGCAGGCTGGGGATGGATTGTCTTGTCTGAAGCCGGTGAAATAAAAAGCTAGGATCTGGAAAAGGTAGCACACGGCAGAGATCAACCGAACATCCGAGAGAACCGGGACAGAAGGCCACAAATCAGGCGTTTCTGGGCGTTATCTATTCGTTCTTCCACTCTTGACAAAGTAGCTGCATACAGAGCTATCTGGAGTCGCAATAATATCTTAGTTCTTGTCAATTTCCTAGACTATAACTCAAGAACTTGATCAAATGTTTGATGTTCATCCAACCTCCTTTCCTCTATCTGCTGCATTTTTGCCCGAACAAAATCCTCCATCTGGTCCCGCTCATCTTGTGTTAAATGGGAAAGCCGATCATCAAGCGAGCTCAGAGGCCCAAAGTATTGTTCGTCGAGAAATGTCCAATAGATCTCATCAAACATGAAGCTATTCCTGGCTGCAAGACAAAACCAAAAGAGCCCATCTTTGATAGAGAGCGCCATCCTTTCTGAAAGACGCTGTGATTCCTTTAGACTACCTTGGCGAATCTGTTCGTCTTCATGGACACGGAGCTCCTTAAGAAATAGTTCGAGGCGAGGGCGGTATCGATCCATAAAATTATCCAGGTCCCAAGCCTCGGGGCTTTCAAATAGGAGCCACCATGGAGCACTGTATGTAAATTCAGCGGGGGCGACATATGTATACTCCCAGTCAATGACACCAGTAACCCTCAAATCAGACTCCGTGACCAGGACATTCGATGGGCGCAAATCATCGCAGTAGAGGTGGTATCGGCCATGCTGTACTGGGACCCGTTGTGCTATATGCCGGAAAAGACAGCGTGCCACATATTTCTTCCGGCAGTCGTCCTCATCGGTGATGGCATCATTGCGTTGGTATTTGAGGTGCAGAAACTGTTGCTCTGCTAATTGCTGGAAATACTTGGAGGCGCTTTCAAAGATGTGATTGTAATCAACAAATTCATTGGGAGGGAAATTTCCAACTCGTATAAGCTCATTCATTTTGAGTGTCAAAGGCCGCTTTGCAACCCTCCACTCCCCAGAGTCGTATTTCAACCCTCCAATGTATTTGAATACCGGCTTGGAGAGCTCTAGCACAATGCGAGCCATTCCAGAGTAGGCAATCTTCAAATCCGACTCGAAGGCATCCGGATTCAAGCTTGGCGCCAACACAGAGGGATCTCGTAGGCGTTTCGAAAGCAAAGTGCCCTCAATAACTGTTGTAATGATATAAGGACCGCCACTCCATTTCCCTACGCCAAGGACAGTTGGGACGGGGATAGATGTGAACCGAGCAACAAAGGCCATCACTGAGGTCTCGTCGCTAGATTTTTCACAGCGGAAGCGGCTTCGGCCCAGGATGGGAAATCTAACAAGAGCATTGAAACCGTCTTCAAAGGTGACAGTACAGCACATATTGAATGCGCCAGTTGTGAAATCTGAAGCTCTGGTTGCTCGAAAACCACGACGAAGCTTGGAGGCAAGCTCGAGAGGCAAGGCTGGGGATTGTTGGAGAAGATATTTCAACCAGGCAGCATATAGACTTTGCGAGTTTTTCTCCGCCAACTTATCCCAGTGCATCGTGAAGGCAAGTATTCCGTCGTCGAAAGGGAACCTCGTGAATGTGGTAATTTTGATCTACCGCTCGCGGGATTTGTCTGGCAGATGTTGGACCAAGTGAAATGACGAACTGAATACAAAGAAGGTGAGTCTTAATAAAGAACCCCAGAAATAAGCGGGAGCACTTACCCTGTACTCAATGCCCAACAACTTATCCCAAACCTGCACTGCTCGAGAAACCCCTTTCGAAACATGGGTTGGGGCGAGCAAGCCATTGTTTCGCTTCGCGCCCTGGGCAGGGGGTTTCTTCCCCCGCCCGGAGTCGGACGGGAAAACAATGCAGGTTGATAGTTACCCGTTCCGTGGCGCCTACCTAGGAATAACCCTAGTCAAACACACCGGTCACATAAAGATGACTTTACCGCCATGAGCCCCTCCAGAAGTGCTTATATATTGGGCATTCTTTCCTCCAGGCAGCTTCTACCAGCGCATCATCGACCTACATCACAAGTTTTACCAGTCTCCTACATTGCCACTTCACGTTTGCCCCCAGACGCTAGTGCCAGAACCATTATGAGTGACAAGCCTAGCAAATCCAGTGCCGAGACTCCAACGGCCGGCGATGATAAAGCCAAGAAAGCTCGTGATACCCTGGGTTCCATCTACTCGTTTTATGCAGCCAACCACGATTCGCTCGAAAGAGTTCCATCATAAGAGGACAGCCATCCCTCCGTTGCACTCCATCCTCCTTTTTCTCTTCTTTCCTTTGATTTTCAGTCCCGTGTCTCCCGCCTGGCGTCTCAACCCACACTGGACTTCAATTTGTTCACTTTACCTTGGTGCCATTTACCCTAATGGCGCCCTTTCTCCCCGCCGAACTCATCCTGCATATCCTTCAGCATGTACCGGATGTCCCCAGTCTCTTTTCAGCAATCCTGAGCTGCAAACGCATTTACGCAGTGTTCGAAGCCCATAAAGATCATGTCATGGAATCACTATCCCAGAATGAATGGGGCGACACACAACTCTATAGACATGTGAATGAGGGACTGAGGCCTAATGTACCGTGGAGTGGGTGCAAAGGTGAAAGAGAGGCCCGCCAGAGTCCTGACAAGGCTCTTCAGACAACTGGTTTTCATGGTCAACATTATCGATTTCTCCAGAGAGACCACCCGATGGTTCTTTGTGGTCATATGGCAACTGTTTCGATCAACCAATGCTGAGGAGATACTTATTCCGGTAGCGATGCGCCTTGCCCAAACGTTTGTGCAGGCGGAACGAAAACCAGAAGCTGTCAGGCTACTTCAGGCTATCTGGGACGGCGAGCCTCCATTTATGTATGCAAAAATAATGCCAATATACGCAACCCGCCCTCCAACGCTGTTCCCTCTGGGGAACCAATTGATGGGCCTACTTGGCCAAGAGCATAGTCACTTCTCGTCACTGCAGAAGTCGACTGCTGAGATGGAGCGAGA